TTAATAAACAGAACCATATACAAAGGTATTCAGAGCCGGAAGGCACTTTGGAGAATCACCTCTCTCCACTCTCATTTCACAGCAGATAAAATTGAGGTCAGGATGGATGAAGTGATTTGCCTGAGGTCAAAGCTGGAGAGGCAGAATCAGAACCGCAATACATGATACTGACTTTTGCTTTTGTCAGTATACAATATTACTCACCCAACAAATATTTACTTACACGATAGGCACCATTCTAGGGGCAGGGGGTGCAATAGAGACCCCCTCAAGGCCTAATTCTGGCCCTGCCACTCACACGTTAGCAGAGTTCTGCTCGTTATGTGTGTACACTGTGAATGCTGCATCTTTTTAAAAATAGTTTCATTTCTTTCTGTGTCCACGCCCTTATCTTTACGTGGTCCCAGTGAACTTCCACAAGCATCTCATTTAATTATTTCCCACGTTCTTTTGCAAGGTGCATCCTGGCCCTCCTGACTTCATGCCATCCTGCCTCATTATCACCCTCCCCCCAATTCTAAAAGAAATATTTTAAATTTAATGAAAATATTAAACACGGTTGAACGCGGTATGCGATTATTGCAACTCCAACTGCCAACAAATGTTGTAATGTTCGTGGATTTGTGTAACATAGTGTCACAACAGGAAAATCAGGAGCTGCTTCATCCGTATCCTTCTTTCTCTCTGAAATCCCTGTTGGTAAACATTTGCTTTTGTCATAATCAGCACAGGCTTCTAAGCCTAAGCCTTCTAAATGTCTCTCCATGGTTAGACACAAAATACACACACACATACACACACACACACACACACACACACTACAAAAATCCCTTTACTCCTTACCCTTTAGCTTTATTTCAAGAATGTATTGTGTACCACTGCCTTCTACGTACACATACCAGCAACACCATAGATAAGGAGAAGGATTACATGTCTTAGAACATCTCATTATTGTCTTGGTTACTTTTCTCTAATTGCTGAGACAAAATACTCAATGCCCAAAATTAAGGAACAAATTAGCTCACCATTTGTCCAGGTTTCAGTGCATAATCAACTGGCTCCAAGGCAGGGTAGCATAACACAGGGGCAACAGTTCAAGGCAGCAGAAGACAGCAAAAGCAGCAAGAGCAAAAGGGTGGGCAAGCCTCTTTTCTTCCCTTGTATAGTAAGCAGGCTATACCTCCAGGGCGGGTGTAACACTCACACCATCTCTGTGCCCTCCTCTTGTACAGGATGAGGATGTTTACAAAGTGAGGACCCTGCTCCCCTGATGAGTTGCTTAGTTAAACTTCTAAACTTTTCAAGTTGACACAATTATTTACTCTATTACTTGGAAGATAATTGTCCTTCCATTGCTTAATATATTTCAATAGTTTCCAGATAAATATCATTATCTTTTATAATTATAGACAGAATAAAACAATATTTTGCTTAAGGAGCTAAATAAAAATAGCCATAAATCAGTGTTATATAGTACAGAGAAAATAAAAACGACATTTTTTTAAATTAGAGATTTTTTTGTAATAGAGTCTGTTTGGGGAGAATTTTTTTTCTATACTTTTGAACTAATGAAAAGTTGCAAGGAACATACAAGTTCCCGTATGCCCTTCACATACATTCACAAATCATTTACATATTTCTTTCATATAATTCTCATTTTCTTTTCTATCTCTTTCTCCATATATATATACAAATATATGCAATCTATTGCTTTATTAGTGGCTAGAAATTGTTCATAACTTGTAAAACTAATCTAATTCTATTTACAGAGTTTGACAAAATATATTTTAAATATTATAAATAGTACAAACACTTTTTTGTCTTTTGTGGAGTGCTATGTTATACATATGATTGATATACATATACATACTGTATATATATATTTATATATACTTGATATATCTTTCTGAACCATTTGCAAATAAGTCAGAGACATGATATTCTCTCTTCTGCATAATTTAGTGAACAGTTAAATGTATTTCCTAAATCAGGACATTTCTTACATTGCACAAAATAATTATCAAAAACAAAGGCAATTTAACCCTGATATAATACCATTGTGTAACATACTGTGTATTCAAATTTCCTGCACTGACCCAGTGATGTCCTTGATAACTAATTATTTCCCCCCCTTTGATACAGCTTCTAATCCAGTCATGTAATGTACTTAGTTACTGTGCAATCTTTATTTTTGTGTTTAAAAGATAACACTCAACTAGTGATAACCTGGGTAATGTTCCTTTTAAAAGTAATCTCTGTTTGCTGACTATTGTTCCAAGAATAAGAATTTAAGCCGAAAGATAGCAAAACCCCTTAGGATAAGTGATATCTCTGCTGAGAATACTAGAAGTCAGTCTTGTAACAGTGTTCTAACCACAAGTTTTGACTTTTCCCTAGGAGGAGGTCCAATCGAGGAAACTGAGTATTTCAAAGTTTTGAGATTTAAAACTTTGTAAATGGAATTGTTTGTCTACTTAGAACTAAGAAGATGGTATTTAGCGGCAAACATGTCACATTGATTCACTGTGCTTAAAACCAACTCTAAATAAATATGTAGCTCAGTACTGTGTCAGCGAAGGCTCAAATAAAATCAACATTTTCTTTCTGGATTAGTACATGTTTGCAGTACATAATGATTATATTCATAAAGTGGCGTTAGTGCATGGAAGAACACACTTTAATTTTTTTCCATTTTCTTCTTCTTCACTTCATCTCTTGGTTCCTTTCCATTTGCAAGAGATCTATGTCTCTGTTCCCTATTACCTGTCTTTTACTTTGCTCTTCTAATATTGGAAATATTAAATATAACACTAAAACTTAACCTGCTTTATGGACTGTGAACATACCTAATATTTTGCAAATAATATATAAATTTATCTAATCAAATTCACTTTTAAATGTATTATACAAAATCATACAATTACCAAGTTTCAATACTAGGAAACTGCCTGCATCAGACCTACTGTTATCAATTACATTATGAAAAAGTCATACAGATGATACAAGGTACAAAATAATCTAGTGCTATTTTTACTTTTACCCTCTAAAATACAAATTTGTTTATGCATGAAGGAGACAGAAATGAGATACCAGAAAAATACTATACATATGCATATTCAGGACCTAGATCAAGAATAAAATACTTGTTTTGTCCCCTACCGTAGAGCAGGCTTGCCCATTTATCCTTGTGACAAATATCCATACAAAACCAAAATGAATTAAAGCCCTGAAGACAGTATAAGTCACAAAAACTAATCCTTTCACAGCATTCCTGAAGGAAGCCTGCCCGCTGGTAATGTATAATACATAGAATGTATAATACATAGAATGTCAATATGCTCTTATTTTTTAAAAAGATACTTTGCTTTTTCTAACAGATTTTTATTTCTATGTATGTTACTGTTGGATGTCACTCTATTTTATGTTTGTGCCCAGAGAACCTTGTATTTTCGGTTTTAATTATTTTTTTAAAAATGTCAGTATGCTAAAACTATCTAAAGAAATAAAATAAAATAAAAACTATCTAAAGAAAAACTAAAACTATCTATAGAAATATTATCTAAAATTGATTGTGTCTCAAAATTGTATGTGAACAGGCAGTCAGGCAAATCTAGGTACGTTTTAACGTTGCTCTTCCTAATGGGTTTTACTAGAAAACAGTTGAGTTTCAAGCAGGAATAAAATGAGAGCAGACCTTAGAGACTTAACCATTGAACAGATGCAGTAAGTGCAGCTTTGGAAATATAGCTGTCACTTCAGATCTTTTCCACTGAGTACCTCTGTGAGCCAGGAGCTAGAGCTGCCAGCATTGAAATAATTTTGCAGTTCCTTTGACAATAGAGTTTATGAGAACTCTCGAAAACAGAGTAGCCCGCCTGTTATAAACCTACCTTAAAATCGTTCATTCTTTCATGACTTGTACTCTACCTAGTTTTTTGAGGACAAAAATTGATGAGAACTTACATTAAAAAGCACTTGTCTTTAGCACTCTTAAATTTTTCATTTATGAGCTGCTAACATATCAAAAAATTTTATATCTTTATTATATTAAAATAATTCCTACTATTGACTCTGTGAAGGATTTAGTTTTCTTACTTTCTAAATTGAAAGTTGTATTTTTATGCCATGATATGTAGTTATTCTCATAACCCATGCTAGGTTTAAATAACTGTACATGTGTATATACAGATTTTTCAATCTGAACTAGAATAATTTTAGTTTATATTTAGACATTAATTAGGCTTGTAAATAGGTAAGTATGCATAAATACTGAAGTTCACCTAACCCCAGTGAAATACATAAAATTTAAAACTAACCTTTAAATAAATTAGGTAGATTGATAAAAAATATAGTAATGATTGATACAGCATGAGGCATTTAACTGACATAGATTTTTGTGATTCCTTTTTTAATGGATATAATAATATGATATTCTCTAATAATAGCTACCCATTCTAATTTTCAAAATACTCTACTGTAGGAGGTATAATTTTATAGTTTACTTCCTACAAAATTAGTACAAGAAATATGTACAGAATTTTAACCTCTGGCTCAGCAAACCAACTTTAAAATTCTGTCTACAATGGTATAAATTCTAAATATATACAAATACAATATTATTTTGTATTTAGAGGTATTATTGCAAGAATTTTAGGTAGAAATCTCTTTTTTTGTCTTTTTGAGACAGTGTTTCACTATGCAGTTCTGGCTGGCCTTGAATTCAGTTTGTAGCCCAAGGTGGCCTCAAACTCACAGCAATGCTCCTGCCTCAGCCTCCTGAGTACTGTGATTACAGGTGTGCACCACCATGTCCAGCCTGATAGAAATCTTTCTTTTAATTACATTTATTGGTACATTTTTGGATATATATATAATGATCATATTCATCTGGGGGAAGTTGTACCCAGAAATCATAAAAATTAAGTTAAATTCATGGCAATATGAAATGACTCAAAACTATCTATACAAACTAATCATGGTGTGTATTGTTTTCCTTTTAGATATAAAAAAGAATTCCGAGAGAAAACAAAGAACAAAACACTCCAGAATTCCTATCAGAACAGTAAGTATTTTAATAGCAATGATTATAATGGATCGTCTATGAAATTAGATATGAGAACTGTTTTTTATAGATATATTCATCTTTGTATTTTCTAAGGTAAGAAAATAGTGTAGTAAGCAAGTGAAGCCTTCTAAAGGCTCCACTCAACTTCAGTTCACTTGAGTAGATTGAAAATCATTTATCCTATAATCCTCGTAGATAACAGGGAAAGGTAATCTTTACGATATATCTCTCTCTAGTGCTGAAAATGTTTAGAGTCCATTATGGTATTTTTTTTTTTTACTAACACAATATTTTAAATTCTAAGGAAGGAAAAATATAATAAGCAAAATTTAAACAAAGTACCTCACCTTCTCTGTATTTGATACAAAATTTATTCATTCTGAAGAAAGCTTTAAAACATATTAATATGTTTGATTTGTTTATAGTTATTAAATTAGAATTTTTAGAAATAGCAACCACTCTCAGGGTACACCTTAATTGCGTAGCACTTTTGTCTTAATCTTATGCTTTAAATATGAAATATACTTCCTGAAGTATTATTTTATAATAGTTTTCCTATAGTTTATGAATAATAGTTTTTATAATAGTTTTCCTAATAGTTTATGAAATATACTTCCTTAGGTATTATTTTATAATAGTTTTCCTAAATACTCTTTTAGTTGGCAAAATTAAATGTATTGTGATGTCATCTTTGTAGGAAAATCTGTGACATTATAAAATTTCATAAATGCCCAAAACTATAAATTTGGAAAGTGTAAATATCAAAAATAGAAAAATAAAGTTGAAAACCAAAATCCATCTTGATGACTTCACATGGTACCACTTTTATTACCATGACTGTTTCGAGATGAACTTGAAAATGCAGTTGTTTAAAATTGCAACAAAAAATATTAAAGGGTAGCACTTTAACAAAATGAAAAACCTGTATCTTGGTGTATATTAAAGTAGAATCAAGTTCAATGGAGAAGATGTCATTTTGATATAAAATTATAAATAAGTTCCTAAGATATATACAAATGTTACTTACATAATAAAATTTTCTAACCCAAAAGACTAATGTGAACATCAGACTTAGTTTTGATTCATTAAACATAGCCATGGTAATGTTTATACAAATGAAATTTATCTGAAATCTATTTCGTTAATTTATGAAGTGTGAGATGAGCAGGGACAGCAGGATGCTTCGTTACCTGTCTGAAGATTCCCCACAAGCAGCTCTTTTCAGATCTCACCCAATCTCTTAGTATTTCTTCTAGTTATGAAAGACCACACATTTCTTATTTTATGTTGGATTTTACACAAGACAGAGTTCAAATTGTTTACTTTTGGAAAAATTATTGCTTGACTTACAAAAATAAACTCCAGAAATGAGAAAAGCTGCTGGGTTTTCAGTGCAGGTTACAAATATATTTGCATATATGTAGGTGCAAGGATAAATTAAGAATCAGATGTCATATCACATACAGTGTTTTAAACTCTGCTAACTTGAAGGTGTCGAAAGACATCCAATGAGTGAGAGAATAATTTTTGACCATTATTTCCCCCACCATCTTATAATCAGAGAAGTTCAACTAAGTCATTGAACCAAAGCATAAACATTTTTCTACACTTGATAGACTAGGCTGTCTTAAGGTTTTGTTCTTAGGTATATAATTTCAGTTTTTAAAAATAATTTCAATGCGGTGCAGTACTCATTAGAAAGAGGTTGAGTTTTTAAAGGGCTGAACCAAAGGTACTTGTTTTAAGCTATTTATATAAGAACCAGATAACAACTTCTCTCATTATAATTTCTTAGTCCTTTTAGTATTTTAGTATAAAACCATAAATGATCATTTTTATAATTTTATTTCCTTTTTAATTTTTTATTTTAAAGAGGAAAAAATACAAAATAACAACAACTTCTTATTTCTATATAAGTTACTTCAACTGTCATTTAGGTAGCCTGATGTAAATTCTTTAATTTTTCATAATTTTATTTAAGTAGAATTTATTGTGACATACTTTGGGGGAATCACAGTCAAATAATGAGATCTGACCATTGGGAATAATCTTAGAGAAAATAAAGCACATGTTCCCAAGGAGAAAAGTGTACCTGTTATTGGTGCATTATGTATGATTTGGGGCAGTTTTTCTTCTCAGGTTTAATTAATTGTTATTTAATAACTGTATGTTACTTCACTAATAAATAGCCATAATATACAAAGCAAAAGGCACTCTGAAATGATATAATATAAATATGGTTTATTCCCTTAAATTTTAAAAAAAAATATGAAAAGAAACACTTTGAATTAAAATGAAGTTGTTGGAAGACAAACATCTTCACATATGTCTTCATCCCCAGAGGACTGATGAATTTGGAGTGATCAGTGTTTGGAATGAAACATGATGTAAGATGAATGTACTGGATAAAGGGATGATAAAGTGACTTCTTGTCATTATAAATTGAATGTGACCCTGTGTTCTTAGACCATGAACAGTGAATGAATTCTTACAATTAGTATTTGGAATAAAATTTTATAAATGAACAGCTTTTAGCATAAGAAAGCCATAGCAACCTATCATTTTGGCCTTAAAGAGAATAATTTAAAACTGGTAATTGATTAAAATATTACTAAATTACTACTGGAAAGTTTTAGAGTGTACTGGATCTATATTCCCCAAAAGTCTTAATGCTTAAGAAAGATGAGAAATAAAGAGAAAGGGAATATTGGATAATGTATTTTAAAATAGTAATTTTCTTGTCAATCGCTTTACACTCTGTGTGCTTTCTAGAACATCATAGGCTGGCTTTCTATAGACTGATTACACTGGGTAATGGTAATAAAAAAGAGAATACATTAAAATAAATCACTCAGATGTTCACTCATCCTTCTTGGGAACTACTCATATTATCCTAGATTTGCTAAATCTTTTTAAATACTACTGGGAGTTGAGGTTCTCACTCAAAGCATGACTATTAATAACAACCTAGCTTTTCTGGGACAATAAATGCAATAAAAAGTTTCAGTTTCAGTAAGAAAGATTTCAATGGAAAGCAGACTTTAACCAATAAAATAGGTTGTAACTCATTAGAGAATAAATGTTATTTGCCAATGCCTCTCATAAGTTTCATTTAGTCAAATCTTTTTTAGAAGTAACAAGTCCTTGTCATCAAAAAAAAAGTGTGTGTCTAAGTGTATACGTGTGTGTGAACAGCAAAAAGCTTGAAGAAAATTTAGTAGCAAGAAACTTGGAGAAACGAAAGGTCATCTAGTCTCATTTCATAGAGATTACTTTTTCTAATAGTCTCACTTATAGAGGGCCAGATAAGTCAAATTATTTACCTAAGGTCTCATATCTAGTGGCAGAACTGAGAATTATGCTGGTATAATTAACCATCTACTACTTCTTCTGTCTGTCTTGTTGGCTGAAAGTATTTGAATAAAAAATTAAAAGTTTCAAAATCTCTCAAGAAGGCTCTTCTCCAAATTTAAATGTTTTCAGCCAAAACTGTAACTAAGTTTTACATGATTAATTATTGATCTAGTTTCTACATATCTAAAATTTTATTTTCATATAGCTCATTAGAATAATATTTGTAGTAGATATAGATAGATAGATAGATAGATAGATAGATAGATAGATAGATAGATATAGATAGATAGATAAATAACAGAAATGGAGAGAGAGAGAAACAGAGAGAGTAAGACAGCTGGATGGATAAGTGGGCCATAGTTGGGAGGAGAGCAGACCTAACTCTTGGCTTTATTCAGCTGCCCCTCTCATAGTGAGAATCCTGGAGTATGGAAAGTATCATTCAAGAGCACACAGTTGGATGAAAATAATACACAACAATCATACACACATACATACACTCTGCTGCCAGGAACAGTTAAGCAAATCCTCTTTTTGAGTCTATTTTCTCAAATGGAATCAGATGAAAACTCCCTGCCCACCCTATTTCTCAAATTTCTTTTAGGTCAAATTTAATATATAGATATCTTTGTAGATCCCCCTGTATGATTTAATACATTAACCATAGATTTAATGACAAATTTTGGTTATTTCATTTCTATATAAAAATCCTTATGTTACACTGTATTACTATAAAAAGAATATATTTCTGTGAAAAGCCAGCTGAAGTGGTTTTGTTTGTACAAGAATGTGCCACTGATGAAACCAAAATTGTTGATTGATTTCTGCCTTAGACAAAAGAAACATCCAGGGAAAATATTCCTTTTTTGAATGTACAATTTATACTTAATCCTTGTCAATTTTCTCACACAAAAACAGAAGAATTCATATATAAAAATCAAGTTAGGAAACAAAAGGAATATGTATTGGACTTTTAATTTGTGTTACTCTATATAGAATTACATTTTATTTAATTGATAAAAAAATTACTATGTTATCATAATTTACACGTGAAGAAAATAAGGATTGACAGCTTTCTAAAGTAATCTGAATCCTAAGCATCATGGTTACCGTTTGAATTCAGATCTGCCTTTTTACCCTTTTCAAGTTGCTGCTATTAATAAGGACAACTGGCAAACGCCAGGCATGTGTGATCTTCCCGTATGAATCATGATATGGTAGGACAGTAGAAAAGTGAGGAATACATCACTTTTTAAAACACCATAGATCTATGCAAAATACTCAGTGTACTCATGTCACTTTACTACTTGCTATCAATAAGCATGTGTCACAGGAAACGAACGTGGGTGACGTAGAGGATGAAAAGGATTACTCAGCGGGCAGGCTTGGTTCAGTCACTGAGAGGCCCAGAGGGGCCATGCTAAAACCAAGAATGCCCGGCCATTAGAGGATGCCTGACCCTGGAGAAGAAAAAGCCCTGATGTCAAGCACTCTCTGGCTTTTACTTAGAATATCAGAGTAAAAGAAAAAAGCAGTGAAAGCACTTTGGGCAGGGAGCTGTCTCAAGGCTAGGCATTTTTTCTTTGGCAGAAAAGAAGGACAATGGCCAGACGCAACACGCCTTACTAATCTAACATTGTTTA